CAAAATACGCTCTTTTTCTTCCTAGCTAGAGTCTGGAGACTAACCATCGCTCCCTGCCAGCAAGAGCGCTGCGGAGGGCAGTGAGGTGGAAAAGCAGTTTGGCTCCAGCCGGCCCTCCCGGAGGTGCCCCATTGCCAGCAGCCAGAGGAGTCGGTTCTCTTGCAGCCGCTCCTGATGGAAGCCGGGCACACGGCGGGGCCCAATCCCCAGCACTGCCCCCTTATCGCCTTGCCCTCCCGTTCACACCAGCTGGGGAGCCGAACCTGCCTGTGCATCAGTCTCACCTGGTCCGGGGTGGAACCGGGGTGCGCGTGTGTTGCTCCAATCCCCTGCTTGTACTGCCCAGCTGTAGCCATCTGATCCCCAGTCTCCCCTCCCCTGAGCCCTTCCCAGCCCGCCCTGGATCCAGTCTTACACCCACCCCCTTAGAGGGAAGCCGTATCCCCCTTGTACAGATGGGGAAACTGAGGCACAGGGTGAGTACGGGCCGGATCCTAATCCCCCGACTCACACCTGCATCCCAAGTCACCCCTCTGAGATCGGTGGGTGGCTCCCAGAGGAGCCCGTTCCTTGGCCAAGGAGGCAGAGCCAGACATTGCAGCCAGACCTCCTGCATCCCAGCGCCGCTGCCTTAGCCCCTAACGCCCCAGGACTGCTGCCCCCCTCCAGCACTGGCTAGCCCAGGGAGGTGTCCCAGCCCAGGGACCACAGAAGCCTCCCCCTGTCTTGCTAACAATCCACTAGAAACTTCCTCGGGACAGGGCGAGTCGCCTAGGGGTCACCACGGGGGGGAGGGGGGGCTGGACCCAGAGGCCGCCAGCACCAGTGGAGCCCCGCCTCCACTGCTGGAGCAGAAAGAAGCTCCCTGGCGGGTCACGATAGCAGACTCTTATCCTGAGCGGGAACGCGCGGAACGCCCGCCGAGCCATTTACACCCGGATCCCAGCCGGGGCAGGCTGTCCCGCCCCTGATTCCAGAGCTGGATTCCAGGGTCTGCCAGCCCCTCCACCCCCCGGGGGCCAGGGTACACAGAAACAAGAGAAATCCACCCCTGGGCACCAGGCCTGGCCCAAGACCTGGGCCCTAGTCGAGCCAGGGGCTTGGGCAGGCCCAGCGGTGAGCAGGCAGTGCCACGGAGCCACAGCTCTGTGACTGGGCCCCGTGGCTGGGTGCGTCCTGCTCTGGGGAAGGTCATTAAGGGGTTGCACGGGGAAGGGGCGGTGACCACCTCCCAGGCTGCTGGTCAGCGTTGCCCCTCGTGGAGACAGAACTCTGTGGGGGGGACGGACCCGATCCTGCCCTGGCCAGATGGTGCAGAGCCCGCATCACCTTCCTGCATGGGAGCCCCCAGAGGTGTGGGCCTGGGAGAGCTTGCCCCGTGGCATGGCTCCGTGCCAACGGGAAAGGGCCAGGCCCCTGGTTTGACAAGTGGGACCAAGCAGAGGGTAAAACCCTCTCTACTCAGGCTTGATTGTTCAGGGGAAGGGGGCTTCGCACCTCGTTATCCTGCAGTAACGCCCCCAGCCTGGCCCTGTACAGGACTCTGGACGCCCCAGCACACAACAGTATCTTCAGCCAGGGGCTGCCCAGGGCAGATCTGCCAGGGCCTAGCCAAGGAGGGTCAACGGCAACGGCAGCCGAATCCCAGGGCCCTGCTCCGGTAGAGGCCAAGAGCATGAATCCGGGTTTATCCTACGCTCCACCTGGGGCCCAATCCAGCGTGGGTGCTGAGCACTCTCAGCTCTCCCTGAAGTCAGGGTGTTCAGCATGGCACAGGATTGAACCCTCAGTGCCTGGCTCAGTGTGTCAGGGTGCTGAGCCCTTTGGCAAAGCTGGTGCCAGCAGTGGGTACTGGGCAACTGGAAATCTGCCCTGTAATCCGGCCAATAGTATCCAAGCCAAAACCCACTGAAGTCAATGGGAGTATAAGGATGCTGAGGCCTGGGACCTACGCATGCATTTGGGTCAAGCCTTTAACGATGACAACTTATATCCACTCAATTTGCAGCCTTTGCCTGACCAGCCGTCCCTCCCCCCCTCCGTCCTCTGAAGAGATGAGCATTTATGGAGGTTAAAATCATTCCCTGGTTTTTTTTAAAGTCCTCTTTTGAGAAACGGAGTTTCCCCCACTTGGGTTTTTGGCCCTAAATCCGGAGCGGGAGCGGTACCAAAAAAACAGTCGTTAAAAAATAATAATCAAACGCATTTATAGTTCACCCTCAAAACTGCTTCAGCTGGGCCGCCCGGATCTTTTGCATTCAGATTCCACTGCCGCTGGAAAGCCGGATTTCTCTCTTCCCTTCCCCGGCCATTTCAATGTACGTGGACAACAAAACCCCAGCCCAGCCCAGCAGCTGGGGTTACAGCAAAGCTTCCCAACCACCCGGACTATAATTATTTTGATCCTGCAAACTCTTGACTAGCAGGTGCAGTGCTGGCTAGCCTCTGGGCATCTCAGGAAGTGCTACACCTAGTTAGCTGCTGGACTGGGCCCTTAGCTGACGTAAACTCTGTGGAGACATGGACTTTGCTTTCATCCCAAAGCACCTAGCGTTGTCATTGCTACAGAAATAAAGAAGGGTCTGGTCCAGCGGCGCTCAACCTTTGCAGACGACTGTACCCCTTTCCGGGGTCTGATTTGTCTCGCGTACCCCCAAGTTTCACCTCACTTAAAAATGACTTGCTTACAAAACCAGGCATAAAAATACAGGCGTGTCACAGCCCCACTATTACCCAACAATGGCTGACTTTCTCCTTTGTACCAGAGAATTCTAAAATAAAGCAATTGGAATATAAATACGGTACTTACATTTCCGGGTCGAGAATACAGAGCAGTATAAACAAGCCACTGTCTGTATGAAATTTTAGTTGGTACTGACTTGGCTAGGGTTTATTATGTTGCCTGTTGTAAAACTAGGCAAATGTCTAGATGAGTTGATGTCCCCACCCGGAACAGCTCTGAGTACCACTGATCTAGTCCATAGGGTGCCGGTGATTGGAGTCAGAAACTCTTCATATTCCCATTGGCTCCCTCTCCTCCCAAAGACGCTCCATTTTGATTCCCTGAATTTGTCAGCTTCGCCAACCCCAATGGTGTATCTCAGCCCCCCCCGAGTTTCACTTGCGCTGGCGAGCCAGGGAAAACAACCAACGCTGAGTTTGTGTCACATTAGCCCACTTCCACCCTGCTACATCTTCCCCCGCTGGGACTGCCTGGAAATGGAAGCTTCTTTCACACCTTGAATAATTTAAACATCGTTGTTATGTAAGGAGGTTTGGCTGGTTTTTAAAGCACAAAACTCATGTCCTGGAGCATTCTCTGTTTTGCGGCTTGCATGTAAATCATTTGCATTTGTATTTGATAAAATAATTAGTCGCACCTAAGGGGACCCGCTTGGTTTAGTGAAAATCCGAGCGATTGTTTATCTGTGGTTTGTTTGTAACGTTCAAACCTTCCTGCCTTCCAGTCCTATAACCACGCTCACTCTCGGGGTTAGAACCGAAGTTTTAAACCCATAGCGCAATAAGAAGACCCAAGAGCCGGCTCTGAAGTCAGAGCCTGGTTGTTATTGTTGATGTTTTCCACATGTACCAGCTATAAAAATATGCTAAGGGCCAGATTCTCAGCGGAGCTGAATGGGCATAGCATCTAGTGAAGTCAGCGGCGCTACCCTGATTTACACCCGCGCTGGATCTTTCTCGCCTCAGTTTACAAAAATATCAGCCAATGTACTTGATTTATAAAGGGGTAAAATAAACCCCGTTTTCCTACACTTTGATCCCCTCTCTTTTTGTCACTGCTTGAAATCTGCCCTGAAACAGCAAACGATCCAACATTAAACTGTGACTAACCTTTGCCAGCCAGCCTCCATCCCTAGGGCTGAATCCAGCTCAAAATACCCTCCAACAAAGCCGGGTTTCCACAATTGCTTTCATTCCGGGCTTGTAAAAAGTGGAATGTTATCAAATTCCAGAAAATGATCTTATGCGGATCGCCTCCTTAGCTAACCCTGCCCTGCCTTCTCTTTTGTTTTCAGGAATATTCCCAGAGCAGATTTTTCACCGATGCCGTTCTTAACTTTATTCTGAATTAAGAAATTGGCCAGAGCCCTTGTTTAATTTGCCCCTGGACCTATTTCACACGCTGCCCCTTCTGCTTTTTAAAGACCACTTGCTCCCTCCCTAATACGGAGAAGTGTGTTTAAAAAAGAAGACCAGAAATGAACCAGCAGAGACAAATTTAGCTCTGACCTAGAGGCCTCAGGCTGAAGACAGGCCTCCTTTAGCAGGAGCGAAGGATATGCCATTTGGCAAGATCACGAGAAGGGGGCGGGCGGGGGGGCCAGACCCTCTGTTTATACAGGCGGAAAGGAATCAGGAGGGAACTGTCAAAGCCCAGCCTGGGGATTTGGGATCAGAACCTCGCAAGTTTTCCCTCTGCTTCCCCGGGCCCAGAGGGAAATATTCACGGGGTTTGGGACTCAGATGATAACTCAATCCCTGTGCTAAAAGGAGACTCAAAGGTGTCCAGGGGCAGAAGGAAATGGGGTCACAACCCCCTTCACCCACACAGGGCCTGACTCTCCCCCATGCAAAACTACCCCACTGGAGTCAGGGTGGGGTGGAGAAGAACTGTCCCTTCCCCCCCTCCAACCCGACTCCCTAAACCCACTGCACATCCAAACCCCCGGCCTCTATCCATGACGCCTCTTATCTGATTGTACCTTCTGCCATCTGTTACCATCTCGCTCTCGCTGCAAACAGCCTGGCCCCCACCCCCCTAAGCCCTGACATTTTAATATGCATGGCCATTTCGCACAGCCCCCACTTTCTCTGCCCTCCTGGCCACAGCTGATCTGATCTCCCCCGACATCCCCAAGTCTCCTTTTTCTCAGGCTGCTCTTGCTTTGTCATTTCATAGTCAGTTTTCTCTCCCCCCCCCCCATCCCATTGTTGGGAGCTCCTTTATTGTTCTAGCAGCCCGGGCCTGGCTCACTTACCTTTGTGCATGCCCGTGTATTTATCCTTAATCACTGTCAACTCGTAGATCTTCCCAAATTGCTCGAAGATGGGCTTCAGATCCTTCTCCTCCAAATTCCGTGGGATCTGCCCGATGAAAAGTTTAATGGCATCGGGTTCCTTCATTGGTCCAAAGGGGCGAATCTGGGGGCGAGCTTCGAATCGCCTACCCGGCCCCAGCGGAAGAAGCGAGAACACAATCCCAGCCCTAACTACGGTCCCAACACTGCCCAGCGGCGAACCAAACAAAGGGAGCAGAGGCTGGTTGGTGGCTCTGGATGCTTGAACCAGGATTCCCCAAATCTGTACAAAAAAAATGTGGGTTTTTGGCGGGGGTGGGAAATTCCTCCCTGTCGCCTCCTCGTTGTCTCTGATTTTTTTTTAACCTTTAAAAAAATTTAAAATCCTGATTTTTTTTGGTGCAAAAAAAATTAAATCATCATCATCATAATAAAAAAAATCAACTCTAAAGAATCTTGCAATTCCGCCGCCTTGGAAGCGAGCTGTTGGTCTGAGCTCTTTGCAATTTCAGAGCCCTGGCGCTAATACTTTTGATCTATTAATTACAGAGCTTGCAAAGCAGTTAATTAGTTTATTGATTAACTTTCCTTGAAGAGGTTGAGACCAGTTTAAATTCTTGGGTGGTTGTTGGTGGTTGTTTTAAAAAAAAAAAAAATTATCGATTCATTTCTTTCTCCTCCTTTTTCCCCACCCCTTTTCCAAGCTGGATTTCAACTGCTTTTGCTGGATTTCTCCCTTTAATGGATCTTGAGCTCTGATTCAAATCTTTTCTTTACCAACAAAAACCTCCTCTCCAGCCCGCCCTCCTTCCCTGACAAATAATGATGTCAGATTTAGGGGCTGGGAGCAAACTCCCAGCCCCGGGAGAGACGCAGGCAGGGAGGTTCAGTGCCACAGAAAATGACAGGCTCAGGCCAACTGATACAAATAAATACAAGCCTGGACAGAAAACTAGAGACCCCAGCTTGCTACCAGCACTGCTTGTGCTGTTCTTCTAAGGACCACTTCCTGAGACGCCAGTGTAGATGGTCCATATAAGGAAATACTGCACCATATAAGATCAGATCATACAACACAGAGCACCCCCGCAGATAGTCTAGTTTGAGTTTATTAGGTGTGCACGTGTACATGAATGAGCATATACGGGCCACGGCTTTCACAAGTGACAAGTGGTTTTGGGTGCAGCAATACTGGGGCTGCCCAAGCGGAGACCCCTGAAAGGATCTGGACGTTCAGGGGCTCCGATCTCTTTAAAGAGTCTCAAGCATAAGCCAGTGATAGAGGCCCCCCATAATCCCAGGTCTCATTCGAAAATCTTGGCTTCTCTATTCCTAGATCAGGGGTGGGCAAATCTTTTGGCCCGAGGGCCACATCTGGGTATGGAAATTGTATGGTGGGCCATGAATGCTCATGAAATTGGGGTTGGGGTGCAGGAGGGCTCTGGCTGGGGGTGCAGGTTCTGGGGTGGGGCCAGAAATGAGGCATTCAGGGAGCGGGAGGAGTCTCTGGGCTGGGGCAGGGGGTTGGGGTGCGGGAGGGGGTCAGGCTCCGGACGGCGCTTACCTCAAGCAGCTCCTGGAAGCAGCGGCATGTCCCCGCTCCGGATCCTATGCGGAGGTGCAGCCAGGCGGCTCTGCGCACTGCCCCATCCACAGGCGCCACCCCTGCAGCTCCCATTGGCTGCAGTTCCCTGCCACTGGGGTCATCTAGTGTCACCTCCTGCATCGCACAAGGCAGAGAACTGCCCTGAATACTTTCCTGTTTGAAATAGAGCAGGTCTTTTAGAAAAAAGATCCAATCTCTATTTAAAAATTGCCAGGCGAATCCACCAGCCCCCTTGGTAAATTGTTACAAGGGTTAATTAAAAATGTGCATCTTATTTCTAGACTGAATTGGGCTCGCTTCAACTTCCAGCCATTGGCAGGGCTGCCCGGGGGGGGGGGGGGCAAGTGGGGCAATTTGCCGCAGGCCCCGCAGGGGCCCCCACGAGAGTTTTTCGGGGCTCCTGGAGCGGGGTCCTTCACTTGCGGGGCCGGGCCCCAGGAGCTTCTTCCGCTCTGGGTCTTCGGCGCCAGGCCCCCTGAATTCTCTGGGGGTCCCTGACCATTGGATCTGGTTAGACCTTTGTTGGCTGGACTGAAGAGCCCGTTATCATCAAATTTCTGTCCCCCATATAGATACTTATAGACAGTGATCAAATAACCCCTTAACTTGCTCTTTGTGAAGCTAAATAGATGGAGCTCTTTGAGTCGCTCACTATAAGGCAGGTTTTCCAATCCTGGCTCTTCTCTGACCCCTCTGCAATTTATCAACATCCTTCTTGAATTCTGAACATCGGAACTAGACACAGAATTCCAGCCGTGGTCACACCAGTGCCGTGTGTCTGTGTATTTTGGGTGTGTCTATTGGCATTAATAAATGTAATATAATACAATACAATATACAACACAGGTTTACATCTCTCAAGTCTCTTTTGTTTTGAACGGCCTCACCACTCTACACACACAGCACTAATGAAATGCAGCCATCTCTGGGGTGGGGAGCATCAGCCGCTTGCTGTATATCACAGGAAGAGGAGATTTTGGCTAAGTATCCGAGGACTTTTAGGTAGTAAGGTGCTGCTGTAACGCAGATAACTAAGGGTGGATCACAGGAGAAAATGAGATGAGGCCAACCAGGGGAGGGAGTTGGTATACGGAAGCCAATGCCTTTTTAGTTTGGGGGATAATCTGCACAAAAATGGGTTGAGAAATTACTAGAAACATCTATTTTATTATTATTTAAACCATTTACCAAAGCGAACGCCACCTGCTGGGGCTTGGGGGTGGATGGGGGGGCAGCACAGGACACACCCTGCTAAAGCATCCCCACTATACCATTTTGCATTTACACAACACCATCCATCCACAGGTCACAAGGAAGTGAGGCTCGGTACAGAGGTAGGTCTCGTGAACCCAGTTTGACAGAAGTGGAAACTGAGTCAAGGCCACACTTGGGAGCTGGGAGAGAACCCAGGAGTCCTGACGTCCAGTCCCTTGCTCGGGCTGCTAGATCCACCCAAGCTGGGAGAGAACCCAGGAGTCCAGATGTCTGCTCCCCTGACATAAATACCCCACCCTCCATGCCAGCTACAGAACCTAGGGATCTTGAGTCCCTGTGCCCTGCTCTAACCACTGGACCACACTTCCCCAGTGGCAGAGAAAAGCCTGCAGCCCCCACGCCCAGCCCTGCGCACTAGGCCACGCTGCCTCCGGAGAGCCACAATCAGGGAGCAACCGGGCTGGGAATTTGGCGAGGGTCCCTAAGCCAGTCCCAGCGCACTGCCCATTGTTCGTGGAGCTGTCCGCGGTGCTGAAGCCCAGCTGGGCCTCCAAGGAGAGAGCCGGGCCGAGCGGCGCCGGGACCCGGGATCGCCCGGGACAGCCGGGCCGGACCCCCGGCTTGGCTGCCCCTGAAACCACAGAGCCACACACA